CAGGTGGGGAGGCTCCCCGGCGCGCAGAGCGCACAGGCGCGCGAGGGGCGCCACGCGCAAATCTGGCCAAAGGGGGGCGCTGTGGGGCGGGTGGGGTCAGCGTGACCCGCGTGGGTGGTGAGAGGGGGAACCACTGCACCAGAAACTCTTACTGTTGCGGGTTCCTGGGTGAAGTTGGGGATGGGGGTATTCATGCAGCTTCAGGGCTCTCTATACAAGCTTAGCCAGTAATGGTACAGAGCAGCTGGAGAGGGGGTACCATTTGGAGGGACTTACTGAGGGATGGGGTCGTTGTGGGATACCCTAGTGATCATTCTGTAGGGGGTGAACGCTGGACCACGGTGGTTACTTCAGGCGAGGTAGCACTCTAGGTGGGGTGGAGGAATGCAGGGGAACCTCAAAGTAGCTGGTGTTAAGCAACCCAGGAGGATCTTCTGGGGAGCACTGTCCAGTCCTGCATTAATATTTGGAACAAGCCCCCTTCCTGGCATTTAGGGCTCAATGGCACCCCAAGGTGCCTCATGGCACCAGTGCCAAGGGCATTTGAGGTCCCATCAAAGGGAGTTCCCACCTTTCTGAAATGACATGTGAAGGTGTGTAGTGCAGTTGGGGCTACTGCTGTTGGTAGTCTCAGAGGAAGCGTCCTTAGGTGTGTGACTGGCTTGGGCTGCCTGGACTCAGGGCTTTGCCTGACTCTACTTTGGGGGAGTGATTGTGACAGACAGTGTGCTTCTAAGCTGCTGTAACTGTCCCAGGGTAATTATGTCCTGTGTCTGTCGCTGAACAGTTAATGGCATGCCTGCATTTGCCTCCAGCAGAGTGCGGTTGTGACATGGTGACAGCGATGGCTGTCTCTGGCATAGTGTCTGTGGTGGTGACAGAGTAACTGTCATCTTGGGACACGTGCTATGTGCTTCCAGAACAATAACTATATGATGGTTTCCATGTTTTAGGGGACACCTCCATGGTGACAGTGTATGTTCCACAGGCTCAGGGGTTTGGGGCTGTGGTTTGGGCCTATGACCTGAGAACCCTATGAGACAGTGTGCCCCCCTTTGTTTGCTTTTTTTTTTTTTTTTTAAGAAAGTGGCCTGGCTAGTCTAGAACTCATTTAATAGCCAGGCTGGCCTTGAACTTGTGACAGTTCTGCCTCTTCCCTGTACAGTTAAGGCTGTCACTTGAGTCTAGTGACAGTTCTAACAGTCAGTACTCAGATAAGCCGTGCACCGTCTGCCCTGGGTACCCTAATTACTAATGTCTTCTTGACCTAGGACAGTCCCAGTGATTGAAGCCACTGTAAAAGGTGCCCCAGGCTCTAACTGAGTTCTCCAGGCCACTGGGTGATTGACAGCTAACATTAACCGCAATTGCCTGTTCCTTTGGAGCATCCTTAAGATGTCATATCTGGGCTTCTCTGCCTGGAGTCCCAAGCAGGGCCCCGTTAGACTATGGCTGCAGTTTTCCTAGACCTTCAGGGACCCTTCCCCAGTTTCTGCAGCTCTCCACGGACACACACACACACACACACACACACACACTCTCTCTCTCTCTCTCTCTCTCTCTCTCTCTCTCTCTCTCTCTCACTTCATACTCCCCAACCCAACTGTCTGAGTCCTTACCAGGAAGCAAGTGTCAGGCTCCTGAGATTTCTCACAGGGAACTAGGAGAGGGAAGCTGTAAAAACAAACAAAACAAAAACAAAACCCCAACTCACATCAACAGGAAATGCCAAGCCAGCAGCTGGAAGCCTCTGAGATGGTGCAGGGGTGGAGCTTAGGAATCAAGGCCCTATTCTCTTTTAAGGCCCTAGGGACTTCTTGGCCCCCTGTTGTCTAATGAACAGTGGCTGAGTGGTAATAATTATAATTTGTGCCCTTTTTCTTAATGGCTCACTCTTGGGCTCAAGGCCTGGGGCCTTTTATACACACACACACACACACACACACACACACACACCTCTTTATCCCACTCCTTCCTTGCCAGTAGCCTGTGTGCGATCCCCGTTGGACTGATGGGAATCAAAGGGGTCAAAAATCCCTTTCTATGCCTCAAGCTCAGACTAGTTTCTGGTTGAGGTCTCCCAAGTACCTTTGCAGGAGCGCCCTCTGAACACGGGCTTCCAGTTAGGTACTGCCCAGGAGGAATCAGTATGAGAGCTGAGCTCCCGGTGTGCGTGAGGGGTTTTGCAAAACTGTTGCTCGAAGCTCCTGAACTTAAAGGAAAACGGAGGAGACCGCTTTCCTCGGCTTGTCCTGTAGTGAGAAATCAGAATCCGGAATCTCAGCCCGTCCCTGAACCAGCTCGGGTTTCGGTTTCCCTGCGGGAAGTATGTGGCCCGCGGAGGCCGCAGCTGGGACAGTGGAGTGGGTTGTGGACTGAGAGATGGCATTGGTGCCAGCGCCCTGAACAGAAAGAGGAAGGGGACGGAGTACACAGGGGATCCTCGGCGCTCTCCGTTGTGGAGTCCAGGCAACTAGTGCAGTGAGGGGTGCAGCTACCACCCTGCTAGCTTATAAACCCCCCAAAGTGGAGGCACTTTTCCTCTTCGTGTCTGCACTGGGTCCTCAGATCCGGCGGGAGCGGGGAGGGGGTGGTGGTGCGCAAGACCGCGTTCATGGCACGGCCTCCGAGGCTGAGTCACATCCCCGCTGCGATCTGTCAAAAGACAGATGGAGGGAGAGGAGAGGCAGAGGCAGGGGAGAGAGGGGGCACTGGAGTGGCCTCTTATCACTCATTGGACCTTCCCACTTTCTCTCCTCCAGAGGAACGCTTCCTGGCTCCCCACGAGGGACGTGCATATAACCAGGCTGGTGTCTCTCTTGTGGGTAATGTCTGTTTCCACCGGGGTCCTCTGCTCCTGTGGTCCCTGCTGCACGCCCACAGGCTCGGCCCTGCGCTGGGAGCTGGGCTCTTAGAGCGCCGTCTGCTGGACCGCGAGAAACATGCAGCGTTGCTCTCATTATTATTTCATGCTCATTGAATGCCCAGGGGAGCTGGGCTCCATGCCGGCCGACCGCGGGCTTGGACAGGGCTGTGTCCCCTAACTACACGCACCTTAGGCCAATGCAGCAGGAACAGCCGCGGACACTCCCGGAGGAACTTGAAAGTTGGCCCAGGAACGATTCCCAGCCCTGTTGTGCCTCCGAGGCTTGGGTCCCAGCAAGCACCGGAGCCTCTGACTCCAACCTCTAGGGTACAGCTTGCAATGTCCTTGGCTGTTCACTTTTATTTTATTTTATTTTTATGAGACAGGTCCTCACTATGTAGCCCCGGCTGTCCTGGAACTTGCTGTGTAGACCAAGCTGGCCTCCAACTCTAAAAGACCCACTTGCCTCTACCCTCAGGAGTTCAGGGACTGAAGGCCTGTGCCACCGTGCCTGCCTTTTGTTTTTGTTTTCTTTTTTACTTTCTGAAGCAGTGTCTCTCTGTGCAGACCAGGCTTGCCTTGAACTTAGAGAGATCCTCCTGCCTCTGCCTCCATGATGCGACACCACGACTAGTTATTTGGATTGTTTAAAATTATATGTGTGTGTTGGGGGTGGGTAGGTATTTGCATGTTAGTGTAGGTGCCCACAGAGGCCGGAGGCATGGAGTCATCTGGATCTGCAGTTACAGGGGGGGTGCTGGGATTCAATCTCTCATTCTCTGAAAGACCAGTACCAGCTCTTAACCCCTGAGCCATCTCTGTGAGAACTTCTTCCCCAGAGTGAAGTGGCCAAGGTCACAGAGAAATATCAGGATTGAAGTTACAGACAGAGCCTGGTCTCCACTCCAGAACACCAGGAAGATTTGAATATATGTCTTCCCCCTGCCATCTAGGAGCAAGGACTGTTTCTCTCTGAGCCCTGTTTTTAGTGTATTACATTTTATGCATTCTAAGTTTTTGTTACTCTGAGTGTGTGTGTGTGTGTGTGTGTGTGTGTGTGTGTGTGTGTGTGAGAGAGAGAGAGAGCATTCAAGCGATAACCAGAGGACAACTTGCAATAGTTGGATCTTTCAATTGACCACGTGGGTGCCAGGACTCAGGTCCTCAAGCTTGGATGCAAGCTTCTTTAGCCACTGAGCCAACTTACAGGCTCCATTTTATTTTGTGTGTGTGGTGTATGATGTGTGTGCGTGTGGAAACAGAAGTCAATGCTTGTTCCTCTATTGCTCTTTGCCTTATTATTTTATTTTTTACTGTGTGTATGGCTGAGCATGGTGGTACACACCTCTGATCCCAGGACTTGGGAAACAGAAATGGGTGGATCTCTGTGGTTTTGAGGCCAGCCTGGTCTACATAGTGAGTTATAGGACAGCCAGCGCTACATAGTGAGACCATGTGTAAACCCCCCAAACCCCATTAATTATTCTTATTC